AGAAGAAGAAGAAGAAGAAGAAGAAGAAGAAGAAGAAGAAGAAGAAGAAGAAGAAGAAGAAGAAGAAGAAGAAGAAGAAGAAGAAGAAAAAGAGTACCAGGTAACAGCAACGACGAGCCTACCTATGTGTATTTTGACATGCAGCGACATGTCGGCAGTTTGGTTAAACTGCTTATTGCAGAAGTTGCAGACGTATCTGTAGTGATTGAGGTGGTTCTGGATGTGTCGCACAAGTTTGGCCTCTGTCGTGAAACACGGGGAGTGGCTGGTCACTCCTGACTCGTCAGGGCTGCTGCACTTTCTGCACGCATATTGGTCGTCGCCTGTCGAGAAACCAGCTGGGTTTTAGTGGACTTGTTAGAACAGGACAAAAGAAATTTCAATTCATTCATTCATTCATTCATTCATTCATTCATTCATTCATTCCTTCATTCCTTCATTCCTTCATTCCTTCATTCATTCATTCATTCATTCATTCATTCGTTCATTCATTCATTCATTTATTTATTCATTCATGCATTTGTGCATTCATTCATTCATTCATTTATTCATTCATTATTTCATTCATTCATTCATTCATTTAGTCTGTCACTTATGCATTCATTCATTTATTCATCCATTATTCATCAATTCCTTCATTCTATCATTCATTATGTCATTCATTCATTCATTCATTCATTCATTCATTTTTTAAATTTTTTTATCATTCAATTTCTTATTATAGTTCATTCCTTCATTCATTCATTCGTATATTTATTCTGTCAACGATTCATTCATTAATTTATTCATCTTTCATTTTTCATTAATTAATCAATTCATTCGTTATTTCATTCGTTCATTCATCATTCATTCATTCATTAATTCATTTATTCTTTCTTACATCCATCAATTCATTCATTCATTCTTTCATTCATTCTTTTATTCATTCATTCATGCATTATTTTTTATTCATTCATTCAGTCATTCCTTCATTCATCTTTTCGGAATCCTAATCAACAAGCAACAATAGGGCACCCTTGTGTTGCATAGAAAGGACTTGAGTTGGACACCAAGATTTACAAGAGATGGAAGGTGGAGGAATTCCACACCACACTTTTCAGTTGGGTTGTGAGACAAGTGTTATAGAAGCTACTTCATGTAGAAAGAGGACACATCCTCGACAACAGTTTTACTTTGTGTCTGATAAGTTAAGAAGCAAAAACATAATATGAATTCTACGATACCACCATCCCCCTACTTCCATTTTTCAACTTAATTAAACATTTAAAATTGCGGGGTAATTCCACACCCATATGAGCACAATGCCAAAATGAAAATAAAAAAAGACATACAAAAAAAATGAAACTGAATAGAAAAATAAAACGTGGTAGACAGAAGCAAATAATTAAAGCTGAATGTCAAACAGATTTCTGTTGGTTCTAAGGGCTGTAAGTGGGGGTGTGGAGTTCCCCCACCTTCCCATATGTTGCCAAAGACGCCTGTCTACTGTGGATGAACGTTAAGTTGGAAAACTCATCTTCTAAAATAGTCGCTTTAAAGTACAAGCGGGCTATCCCAGATTTCGGGGGTTTCCAGAAGTCTTGACCTACACCAAAAGTGGGCTTTGCCATACCCATAGGAGAGGTTTAGTTTCAATGGTGTGCATATTTGTTTGGCTGTAGAGAAAACTCTCCTTGTCTTTTAAAGAAACTGAACCAGGGTCAAAAACTTTACCTCGATTTTCTCAAAACAGCATGTTTCGGGATAGCGCGCCTTGTGCTTAAAAGCGACCAAATAACCAGTTAGCGTTCACATGGTTCGTGTTCAAACCATGTCATACCAGTTGTCCATCTTTGAATAGATTTTAACATTGAATGATTTTGTCAAATATGAACATTTTAGTTCGCACTCAGTGTGGCAGGATGTTTTCTTCTTGTCTCAAAATATAACCTTTAGGGGTTAGAAGCAAATCATATTTTTCTGAATCAATCCTACTATTAGGGTTTTCATTAATCGTAGAAGAAGTAATTAAATACCTACGCTTTAACGAGAACAATTCCTTTTTCAAAAAAAAACTTAGGTCTTCTTTTAACATTTAACTTTGTATTATGCCTCTGTAAGTAAATTTGCCAAAGTATTTTAGAGTATTACTTAAAAACACAAAGAAGCCCTTTCAAGTTACCTTTTTGTTCACCTAAGTTTGTTATAATATACATGTATTTATGAATAAAAGAAAGGGAATTTTCGGGCTGTGATTGTCAAGGAAAAATTGAACCATGAAAAAAGAACAACAACCAGGTAAATGTCTATTGAAATCTTTGTTGACACTTGCTTTTTGTCGATATACACATGGGGTCTTCACTACCGTTGTTGTTGTTGGTGGGGTCTTTTTCGGGGGGGGGGGGAGGAGGGGGGGTATAATTTAGATTTACTTTGCTATACGAACCTAACTTCAGGATGTAAGGCCGAATTAAGTCATCAGTATCTTTTGGCCTTTGAAAATTCTTGAATGCCATATGGTCGCACGAGTCCATAAGTTGTAGCTTGAAGCCGGGCCTTTTGTGTTTAATCTGTGTGGGATACAGAACAACAAGAGATAGTGTACATGTATTTGTTTCATGTCATGTTTTAGTTGCAGTAAGCGTTTTACGGCACTTGCAACACAATAAGGTCATATAAGTGTCGAAGATTAGAGATGTTACAAAAGAGTAACAAACACAAAAAAGAAGGAGGTGAGATAAGGACGATAGATGTTTGATAGGAACGAAGAAGCAAATCACACCAGAGCACCCGCCAACCACCCACTTAGGTCGTGTGTATCGTTCTTGCAGGCACAAACGTCTTGGTCCCCTGACAAGATGCCATGCCGAGCTGAGAGGAACTAATAATAGTAAGTCAGAAATAATATTGGGTCTTTCATTCATTCTGTCATTCATTCATTCTTTCATTTATTCATGTATGAATCATTTCATTCCTGCATTCATTTATTCATTCATTCCTCATTTATTTTCCTTCCTTCCTTCCTTCCTTCCTTCCTTCCTTCCTTCCTTCCTTCCTTCCTTCATTCGTTTATTCATCCATTCATTCGTTCGTTCATTCATCTTTTCGGGATCCTAATCAATAATCATTAGTAGGGTATCCGCGTGTATCCTCTCTGTGGGACGAGGAGATTGACGAATGCAGGGGAGTGCCAACTTGCTTCAGGGGAAACAATTCTCTACTCTAGACATCTGTTCAAGCTTTGATGTGGAATCCACAAGGATAACGTAAGAAAGGAAGACCAAAGATGACATGGTGGCGAGCGGTACAAGTGGAAATGGAAATGGCGAGGACATCATGGAAATAGCTAGAAAAGGAAAAATATAAGTGCAAGACAGATGAAGAGACAGACTCCATAAAAATATAGTTACTAAACAGATGAACAGAGATACTCGATCAAAATATAAGTACTAGACAGGTGAACAGAGATACAGAAATCTACTCCGTAAAAATATAGCTACTAGACAGATGTACAAAAAATACAATGTACTTCATAAAAAATATAATTACTAGAGAGATGAAGAGACATACTCCATAAAAATATAGCTATTTGACAGAAGGACAAAAATACTCTATAAAAATATTTTTGCTAGACTGGTGAACAGAAGTACTCGATAAACATATAATTACTAGACAGATGGGTAGAGATACTCTTTAAAACATGAGTACTAGACAGAGGAACAGACATACTCTATAGACATATAGCAAATAGATAGATGAACAAAGATACTCGATAAAATAACTGTCCATGCAGGAATCAAACTCAAGTTTTCCTCTGTCAAATGAAAAAAAACACAACACGAAACAACCCTGTTCTATAATTTTAAAAAACTTCCTTTTCCAGCAACACAGTGACAGACCAATGCTAGGAAGGACCATCACCACGGGGCTCCAAGTAGTTGTTTTTTGTTGTGTGTGTTTTGGTGGGTTTTTTTGGTTTTTTTTGTGAGGTTTTACGGCGCTCGCAACTGCATAAGGTCATATGAGCGCCAAGGGGTGAATGCCAAAAGAGAGGTCCAAACGAGAAATCGGGCTTACTCTGCTCACATCTCTATCCTCAACAGCACAAAATCTGCTTCGACTGACAAAGCACCCGGGAAATAGCAGTTCATAAAAGAGTGACAAATATACAAAAGAAGTAGAGGAAAAATGACGATAGTAAGGATGAGGAAAAAAAACCCAGAAGTTCTTCCTATGTTGTTCTGGCTCAGTATGAGCATGACATTGATAAATCAGCCCATTTGCAACTCTACTGTGCGTTAGAACATGTTAATATCCTCCCTTTGGGAATGGCCTAAAGACACTTCAGAGTCAAGAAGCACTGTTCTGGTTGGCAGGGGGGGGAGGGGGGTTTAGAAGTGTTACAAGAGAATAACAAACACAGAAAAGAAGGAGAGATAAAGAGGGAGGAGAGATAAAGACGATAGTGATTGATAGTGAAGAAAGAGCTAACCACACCAGAACACCCGCCATCCACCCACTTGCTTTACTAAGATTTTGGGGTTGTTTTTTTGTTTGTTTCAGTAAGAGATTTTCGGCACTTGCAACACAATAAGGCTACATAAGTGCCGAATACTAGAAGTGTTACAAGACAGTAACAAACACAGAAAAGAAGGAGGAAAGATAAGGACGAAAGATGTTTGATAGGAAAGAAGGAGCAAACCACACCAGAGCACCCGCCAACCACCCATTAAGATTTTGAAGAAAAAACAAAAAGAAAAACCAACAAACAAAACAAGAGGGGAGACAGTTTCTAAATCCTTATCAATGCCTTTCACCCCTGGCAGGGTATAGGCCACATACAAGCTCCTTCCACTTCTTAAAGTGAGGGGAGTGTCTTCCACTGTCACAGCACAGCTTGAAACTTTTCATAGCTTCGCTACTTTTGACTTACCTGGATATTTGAAGAAAAAACAAAATGGGAAACCAACTAAAAAAACAAGAGATGTGACAATTTCTACTTACACGAATTAAAGTTTTCATCTGTGCGTAGTAACGCAAAAAGAGCAGATTGGATCTCTGTTCCTCTGGCACCGGGGGAAGGTTGCTGGCGTGGTACAGACGAAGGAGCTGTTCAATCATCAGTGACTGGTCTTTTTCTGTGTCAGGCTCACGTGGGGGCTGTGGCGGACAGAGAAAGTGGTTGTGGGAGAACAGCAGAACCGCGCCCTTTGGAGAAAAAACTATCAGAACCGCGCCCTTTGGAGAAAAAACTATCAGAACCGCGCACTTTGGAGAAAAAGCTATCAGAACCGCGCACTTCGGAGAAAAAATTATCAGAATCGCGCACTTTGGAGAAAAAACTATCAGAACCGCGCAATTTGGGAAAAAAAACTATCAGAATCGCGCACTTTTAACGATATTGATACAATTAGATTGCAGATTACCAAAACAGTACCACCGAACAACAATCTAAGTACCCTCAGCGTTTTGCTGGGCTTGGGACCAGATATCAATTAGATTTTGTATTGAATGAATAGAAGGCTTTCAGGTATAAAAACATATCTACAGGAGAGGGGCGAACTTTAAAGTGTTGGGGTAGTATTTTCTTGCTCAATCAGGATAAACCTTGAAGTTGCAAGACTTGTCTATCTGCGTACATTTGCTTGTTACACATTCTCCCTTCTTTCTTGGGGGTGCCTTTCTGTTTGGTCAGTGTTTTTAGTTTCGGGCCAAGAAATGGTCTGGTCTGGAAACCGCTTAACGTCTGCAGAAAGACAAATGTGTTTGGATGGAGGCTGTACAGGGTAATTTTGTCACGGGGACTGTAACCTCTGGATGAATTCGGCAATTTCATTGTATCGATATCTTCAAAAAGTGCGCGGCTCTGATAGTTTCCAGTTGTTGTGGGTGATTGATTACAACAAAGTAAACGATGATGATGATGATGATGATGATGATGATGATGATGATGATGATGATGATGATGATGATGATGATGATGATGATGATAATGAAGTTGAAACACAAGAATCAGTGACCAGTTGAGACTGACCTGAAAATATTTGTCCACAAAGAGACCTCTCTCTTCACAATCATCAAACCGTGGCTCAACGATGGGGGCTGGGTTCTGCCAGTCATCCACTCTCTGTCTCGGTCTTCTACTCACCGTTTTCCAATCGGCATTCCTCTTGTGGTGTGTTGATGACGACACAACCTGGTGATTGGGGGAGATTTAGTTTTAGTAAGTGTTTTACGGCACTTGCAACACAATAAGATCATATGAGTGACGTAGATGAGATGTGTTCCAAGGGAGTGACAAACACAACAAAGAAGGAGGGCAGATAAAGACGACAGATGCTTGATAGGAAAGAAGGAGTGGAGATAAAGAAAACAGATGTTTGACAGGACAGAAGAAGCAAACCACACCAGAGCACCCGCCAACCACCCACTACAATTGGTGGAGAGAGTACTTGGACTCCGTCCTGTTCTTAGGAATATTGAATGCTTTTACTTCGTTAAAATATTCAAGTCTTAACTGACAGATATATAGATAGATAGATAGACAGACAGACAGACAAATAGACAGACAGACAAATAGACAGATAGACAGATAGACAGATAGACAGATAGACAGATAGACAGGTAGACATATAGACAGATAGACAGAAAGATAGACTGGTAGATAGACAGGGAGATAGACAGATAGACAGAAAGACAGACCGACAGACAGATAGACAAACAGACAGATATATATTAATATAGATAGACAGACAGACAGACAGACACACAGACAGACAGACAGACAGACAGACAGACAGACAGACAGACGGACAGACAGACACACAGACAGACAGACAGACAGACAGACACACAGACAGGCAGACAGACAGACAGACAGACAGACAGACAGACAGACAGACAGACAGACAGACGCTGACAACACTCCCTATGTTGTAGCATCTGAAGTTCCTGGAGCAAGATAGCCGTTTTTGTTTTAGTTTTAGTAAAGTTTTACGGAGTTCGCAACTGCATAAGGTCATATGGGCGCCAAGGCGTCGTTGTCAACAGAGAATTCCAAACCGGGAATCAGGCTTACTCTCACCTCTCCAGCCTCAACAGCATAAAGTCTGCTTCGTCTATCAAGGCACCCGAGAAATAGCAGTTCACAAGAGAGTGACAAACATACAAAACAAGTAGAGAAAAAATAACGATGGTATGTATGAGGAAAGAAAAAGCAGCAGTTCCCCAATGTTGTTCCGACACAGTATGATCATGACATTAAGAAATTAGCCCATTTACAATATTCTACTGTGCATAAAAACATGTTCATACCTCCCCATTGGGAATGGCATAAAGATCCTTCAGTCGGTAGCACTGTATTCTAGGAAATCCCTTAATAAATACGAACAAAAAATCAATTTTCCCACAAAACTGAGGCTTGACTAAAGCACTATTCTTCGTTAATTTATATAAAATACTACAAATCTCCGTCTCGCGTAAAATGGGATTGTTCACAGCATTTCCAGCTTCTCGCACTCATACTTTTGCATACGCCTATGGCCTACGTCACTGCTCACCAATTACATATTTTAATGGTAAAACTTCTTACAAGAAATCAATTTTACAGTGAACACTTTTTTTGCACTAAAGGTTCCCTAAACATGCGTTGAAAATGGTGAAATGGTATGGGTTTAACGCCCTAATCAACACTAATACGTTATTTAAGGAGACGTCCGTCTCTGATAGGACCGAGGAAAGTGGGAAGTTCGTGTAAAGTGCCTTTCCCAAGGACACAAAGTTGAACTGAGCTGAGGCTCGAACCCCCGAACCCGCAATCTCCGATCAGTTGACTTTTTAAAATCTGTAGAAACAATCGGCTGGGATTTTTTGTTAGTATTTATTGAGGAATTTTCTAGAATACAGTGTGCAGGTGTTTTTAAAATTAATATTCATCAGTTAAAACAAATTGATATAAGTCATTGTGCAAAAGGTGAAGAATCTATGTTCGTTAGTTAAGGAGATATTTCACAATAAGTTGCGCTATGCATTTTTGTTAGACAGACAGACAGTGACCACCTATCTAAACCCCTGTCACCGACACCTGCTTGACATTACTTGAGTCTGAGCTTAATGCCCACTTAGCCACTGGAGCCCCCTGGGAAAAGGGCAAGGAAACATGCTATATTATTTACCTTTTATGTACACGTATTTCTATAGTGAGGTAAAATATGCATGGCGCAACTTATTGTGAAATATCTCTTCAAATATAGAATATAGATTCTCCAACTTATGTACAATGACTTATACCAATTTGTATGTATGTATGTATGTATGTATGTATGTATGTATGTATGTATGTATGTATGTATGTATGTATGTATGTATGTATGTATGTATGTATGTATGTATGTC